TTTTTATTGTTTGTTGATGACTGTACCCGTATGACTTGGGTGTACTTTCTTAAACACAAATATGAAGTTTTTGAAAAGTTCACCTCATTTTACAAATTGATCAACACACAATACCAAAAACAGATTTGTATTCTTCGATCTGATAATGGAGGAGAATACATAAATCATCTCATGGAAAATTTCTGTAAGGAAAAAGGTCTTATCCATCAAACCACTTGTCCTGATACCCCTCAACAAAATGGTGTTGCTGAACGTAAGAATCGGATCATACTCGAAATCACTAGGGCTCTTATGATTGAGTCAAATGTTCCTATTTATTACTGGCCCGAAGCAATTGCAACCACCATTTATCTCATAAATCGCCTTCCGACAAAAATCCTAAATCACAAAACACCCATTGATACACTCACAAAATTTTCCACTGTTCCTACCTTCTTGACTCTCACTCCTCGTGTGTTTGGTTGCACTGTATATGTACATATTCCAAAAGCCAAACGAACAAAAGTTGATCCTTGTGCTGTCCGATGTGTCTTTGTTGGGTATGGGGTTCACAAAAAGGGATACAGATGTTATGATCCTATTTCTCGTCGGATGTACACGACAAATGGATTGTAATTTTTTGGAAACTGAGTACTATTTCCAAAACCACTCTAGTAGTCAGGGGGAGAAAATTACGAATGACTCTCTAGAGTGGTTACACAACCCAGTCTTGCCGCCTGAAATGTCCCAACTGAGGAAGTAAGTCACTCCGTGAGATCATCTTTTGAGAACATTGAAGAGTCCAACAACTCTGAACTCATGTCTGATTCTACTCCGTCTGACAAAACTCCTGAGGTTAGTCCTTTCCCCACTCCTGATGATTGCATTGATAAATCTAATGATACCGTGGAAGAATTGAATATATGAAACAGATATGTTCTCCCACCACGGAAGAATCGGGGAATTCCTCCTGTCAGATATGAACCAGAATACATACCTCGGAACTCAAGATATCTTGTGGTTGATCTAGTCAGGGGGAATGTATCACAGGCTCTTCACACATCTAGCCATGAAGTCCCTAGAACAGTAGACGAAGCCATACTAATACCAGAATGGAGAAAAGCAATGGAGGAGGAGATGAAGGCACTAGAGAAAAACAACACATGGGAGAAATGTCTACTCTGCCCAGGAAAGAAACCAGTCGGATGTCGATGGGTATTTACAGTCAAACATAAAGCAGATGGTACAATCGAGAGATATAAGGCCAGATTGGTAGCTAAAGGATATACTCAAACTTATGGTATTGACTACTCTGAGACTTTCTCACCAGTAGCCAAAATTGATACTATCCGAGTATTATTCTCCGTAGCAGCTAATCTAGATTGGCCCTTATATCAGTTTGATGTAAAAAATGCTTTTCTCCATGGAGAGCTAAAAGATGAGGTTTACATGGAAGCACCGCCTGGGTTCTCGTCGGATTTCAGAGAAGG